CGTCAATGTGTTATATGTGACTGTCTTCTCTGCTACCTGTTCTAACGTCAATGTGTTATATGTGACTGTCTTCTCTGCTACATGTTCCAACATCAATGTGTTATATGTGACTGTCTTCTCTGCTACCTGTTCTAACGTCAATGTGTTATATGTGACTGTCTTCTCTGCTACATGTTCCAACATCAATGTGTTATATGTGACTGTCTTCTCTGCTACCTGTTCTAACGTCAATGTGCAGTTTGTGTTTTTCCTGCAACTCGTTTGTGATTGACCAAGCTGATATTCGGAAATTGGGTAGTCCTTCTTGAATGGTTTTACAAAAGATATTTCGAGTTCATTGGGGCAATTGGTTTTTTTTCTGTTGGATGTAACTTTCTTCTGTCTCTTAGTCGTGATTTTAAGAATGTTTTCATATACTTCGGCAACTATCATAAATATTTGTGAAAAAAAAAAACGAAAAAAAAAACTGGGGTTGGGTGGAGGGGGTAGAGCAAAGACAATGGATGGAGGTCAGAGGGCGTGGAAGATAGAAGGGAGAGGAAACACAGACACACGTCAGACATGGAACAGTGTGTGTTGGGATGGAGGTCAGAGGGCATGGAAGACAAGAGGGAGAGGAAACACAGACACACGTCAGACATGGAACAGTGTGTGTTGGGATGGAGGCCAGAGGGCGTGGAAGAGGGAGAGGAAACACAGACACACGTCAGACATGGAACAGTGTGTGTTGGGATGGAGGTCAGAGGGCGTGGAAGACAGGAGGGAGAGGAAACACAGACACACTGCAGACATGGAACAGTGTGTGTTGGGATGGAGGTTTGAGGGCGTGGAAGACAGAAGGGAGAGGAAACACAGACACACGTCAGACATGGAACAGTGTGTGTTGGAATTGAGGTTTGAGGGCATGGAAGACAAGAGGGAGAGGAAACACAGACACACGTCAGACATGGAACAGTGTGTGTTGGGATGGAGGTTTGAGGGCATGGAAGACAAGAGGGAGAGAAAACACAGACACACGTCAGACATGGAACAGTGTGTGTTGGGATGGAGGTTTTAGGGAATGGAAGGCAAGAGAGGAAATACAGACACACGTCAGACATGGAACAGTGTGTGTTGGGATGGAGGTTTGAGGGCATGGAAGACAAGAGGGAGAGGAAACACAGACACACGTCAGACATGGAACAGTGTGTGTTGGGATGGAGGTTTGAGGGCATGGAAGACAAGAGAGGAAATACAGACACATGTCAGACATGGAACAGTGTGTGTTGGGATGGAGGTTTGAGGGCATGGAAGACAGGAGGGGGAGGAAACACAGACACATGTCAGACATGGAACAGTTTGTGTTGGGATGGAGGTCAGAGGGCGTGGAAGACAAAAGGGAGAGGAAACACAGACACACGTCAGACATGGAACAGTGTGTGTTGGGATGGAGGTCAGAGGGCATGGAAGACAGGAGGGAGAGGAAACACAGACACACTGCAGACATGGAACAGTTTGTGTTGGGATGGAGGTCAGAGGGCTTGGAAGACAAGAGGGAGAGGAAACACAGACACACTGCAGACATGGAACAGTTTGTGTTGGGATGGAGATCTGAGGGCGTGGAAGACAAGAGGGAGAGGAAACACAGACACACGTCAGACATGGAGCAGTTTGTGTTGGGATGGAGGTCAGAGGGCGTGGAAGACAAGAGGGAGAGGAAACTTGGACACACTGCAGACACGGATCAATTTTTGCAGCCCACATTAAGCAGATGTTGGCACAGGATTCACAGTTAAGGCACTGGGCAGCTCAGGCCAAAGTTCAGATGATGACTGCAGTCTACAGAAGATGTCTATGACGTATGAGCTTTGCTCTGTGTTTCCATGAGGTCATGCAATATTTCCACAAGCCAGTGCAAACACAACGGCACATTATAAGGGCACTGTCCCCTCAGCTCCTATATCTCTACTGATGGTGATGATGGTAGATCACAACTTCCAATAAGGATAAACACAATCAATGCTGACAATAAAAAAAAAAAAAAAAAAAATCAAACACTACACACAATCAATAAAAAGCTCCCATTTTTGATCAAAGCAATATGTAAAAATTCCATTCTAATACAAAAATACAGAGATTAAAAAAAAAAAAAAAACGCAGGTAACAGGAGATTACACAGGAAATATAATCTGGTAAAATATTCAGCATGTATGTGGTGGAGACCATAAACATATTATTAAACTGATCTGATCTGTTATGTTACAGACCACACACACACAAATATTACATCATAATCTGTTGTTACAGACCACACACACACAAATATTACATCATAATCTGTTGTTACAGACCACACACACACAAATATTACATCATAATCTGTTGTTACAGACCACACACACACAAATATTACATCATAATCTGGTGTTACAGACCACACACACAAATATCACATCATGATCTGTTATATTACAGACCACACACACACATACATATTACATCATGATCTGTTTTGGTATAGACCACACACACATATATTACATCATGATCTGTTATATTACAGATCACAAACACACACATCAATTCTGATCTATTATGGATTACAAAATCATACTGCAGTCTGGATCTGTAATGTTAAAGACTATAGACTGACAAACCACAATCATGATCCGTAATGTTACAGACTACAGACTGACAAACTACAATTATGATCCATAATGTTACAGACTGACAAACTACAATCATAATCTGTAGTGTTACAGACTGACAAACTACAATCATGATCCGTAATGTTACAGAATGACAAACTACAATCATAATCCATAATGTTACAGACTATAGACTGACAAACTACAATCATTTGTAATGTTACAGACTACAGACTGACAAACTACAATTATGACCCATAATGTTACAGACTGACAAACAATATTCGTCTGTAATGTTACAGACTGACAAACTACAATCATGATCTGTGATGTTACAGATTGACAAACTACAATCATGATCTGTAATGTTACAGACTGACAAACTACAATCAGGATCCGTAATATTTATTACAAACTACAGACTGACAAACTACAATCATGATATGTAATGTTACAGACTAACAAACTACATTTATCTATAATGTTACAGACTGACAAACTGCAATCATAATCTGTAGTGTTACAGACTACAGACTGACAAACTAAATTCATCTGTAAAGTTACAGACTACAGACTGACAAACTACAATCATGATCTGTAATGTTACAGACTAACAAACTACAATCATTATCCATAATGTTACAGACTACAGACTGACAAACTACAATCATAATCTATGTTACAGACTACAGACTCACAAACTACAATCATGATCTGTAATGTTCTAGACTACAAATATACATACATACAACAATTTTGACACTACAAACAAAAATTTACCAATTCTAAACTACTATGTTACAGACTACAAACATATAATTTTGATCTGTTATGTTATAGATTATAAACATTGCCACACACAAACAAAACTTGCCAATTACTGCCTTTATTATAGCATTTGTGTGGTGTAAGCAGGAGGGGTCTTTGAACGTGAAGGTTTTACGGCCGCATGGCTAGTGCTGTCGCTACGACAGTGCAGGTGAGCATTTTTATTTATAAACACTACAACATTTCTGATTTGTTATGTTACAAACTACAAACACATATACAAAATATTTGATCTGTTAAGTTTTAGACTACAAACTCATTCAACAATTTTGATCTTTTATGTTATGGTTTACAAACACTATAAAAATTCTGATTTGTTATGTTACAGACTACAAACATACATGCAATAAATTTGATCTGTTATATTTAAGACTACATAATACAAATTCTGATCTTTTTATTATGGATTACAAAAAAAAAACATATTAACTTCATTTGTTATAAACTACAAACACACTCATGCCACACTTCCAGTGTTATGCCATAGGTTACCATATGACTGTGGACAATTCAGCTGACATCATAGCATTTTCTCACAGATAACATATGACTGTGGACAATTCAGCTGACATCATAGCATTTTCTCATAGATAACTGCAGAAATTGTTACCAAACTAACATGAGAATAGCTGTAACAATTATAAGTTATTACAGAACCTAGCATGAGAATAATTGTAAACATTTTCAAGTTACCATAGAAGCTAGCCTGAGAATAGTTGTAACAAATTTAAGTTACTATAGAACCTAGCCTGAGAATAGTTGTAACAATTTTAATTTACTATAGAAGCTAGCCTGAGAATAGCTGCAACAATTTTAAGTTACTATAAGAACTTTGCACGAGAATAGTTGTAACAATTTTAAGTTACTATAGAACCTTGCATGAGAATAGTTGTAACAATTATAAGTTACTACAGAATCTAGCACGAGAATAGTTGTAACAATTTTAAGTTACTATAGAACCTTGCATGAGAATAGTTGTAACAATTTTAAATTACTATAGAAGCTAGCATGAGAATAAGTGTGAATAGTATAAGCTACTTTAAAATCTAGCAAAGGAATAGGTTTAACAATGTTATGTAAGTAGGAGTGAAAGGCAGATGATAAAGTTTCACAGAAAAGACTGGGTCAGACAGACAATGAGAGAGACAAAGATGAAAGATAAACAAGACAGAAAGACTGTAGGTCAAGACTGACAAGGAGAGAGACAAAGATCAAAGATGAACAAGACAACTACGGCTGAACTCATAAAACATGCTGTAGCCTGTACACTGAGATGTGATCACAAGTCATGGATGTGCTGAAACAAGACGACAACATCCTTCCAGTTTTACAAAATGTCAGTGTGCTAAAACAAGACGGCAACATCCTGCCAGTCTTACAAAATGTCAGAGGCCACGAAATCCTGGTTGAGGTATCCAACATGCTTCTTACATTTCAATAGAAAGACAGCAATCAGGAAATGTAAAAACAGGACATATCAAATACAGGACAGCAGCACATGGGTCATGTGCAGATAGGATAGAGAGACTGTGGCATTCAACTGCCTTATACCTGAGTGCCAGGCAACTGTCCCCCTGTCTGACTGCCCGGCAACTGTCCCCCTGTCTGAGTGCCAGGCAACTGTCCCATTGTCTGAGTGCCAGGCAACTGTCCCCCTGTCTGAGTGCCAGGCAACTGTCCCCCTGTCTGAGTGCCAGGCAACTGTCCACCTGTCTGAGTGCCAGGCAACTGTCCCCCTGTCTGAGTGCCAGGCAACTGTCCCCCTGTCTGAGTGCCAGGCAACTGTCCCCCTGTCTGAGTGCCAGGCAACTGTCCCCCTGTCTGAGTGCCAGGCAACTGTCCCCCTGTCTGAGTGCCAGGCAACTGTCCCCCTGTCTGAGTGCCAGGCAACTGTCCCCCTGTCTGAGTGCCAGGCAACTATCCCCCTGACTGACTACCAGGCAACTGTCCCCCTGTCTGAGTGCCAGGCAACTGTCCCCCTGTCTGAGTGCCAGGCAACTGTCCCCCTGTCTGAGTGCCAGGCAACTGTCCCCCTGTCTGAGTGCCAGGCAACTATCCCCCTGACTGACTACCAGGCAACTGTCCCCCTGTCTGAGTGCCAGGCAACTGTCCCCCTGTCTGACTGCCAGGCAACTGTCCCCCTGTCTGAGTGCCAGGCAACTATCCCCCTGTCTGAGTGCCAGGCAACTGTCCCCCTGTCTGAGTGCCAGGCAACTGTCCCCCTGTCTGAGTGCCAGGCAACTGTCCCCCTGTCTGACTGCCAGGCAACTGTTCCCCTGTCTGACTGCCAGGCAACTGTCCCCCTGTCTGAGTGCCAGGCAACTGTCCCCCTGTCTGAGTGCCAGGCAACTGTCCCCCTGTCTGAGTGCCAGGCAACTGTCCCCCTGTCTGACTGCCAGGCAACTGTCCCCCTGTCTGAGTGCCAGGCAACTGTCCCCCTGTCCTGAGTGCCAGGGCAACTGTCCCCTGTCTGACTGCCAGGCAACTGTCCCCCTGTGTCTGAATGCCAGGCAACTGTCCCCCTGTCTGAGTGCCAGGCAACTGTCCCCCTGTCTGAGTGCCAGGCAACTATCCCCCTGTCTGAGTGCCAGGCAACTATCCCCCTGTCTGACTGCCAGGCAACTGTCCCCCTGTCTGACTGCCAGGCAACTGTCCCCCTGTCTAAGTGCCAGGCAACTGTCCCCCTGTCTGAGTGCCAGCCAACTGTCCCCCTGTCTGAGTGCCAGGCAACTGTCCCCCTGTCTGAGTGCCAGGCAACTGTCCCCCTGTCTGACTGCCAGGCAAATGTCCCCCTGTCTGAGTGCCAGGCAACTGTCCCCCTGTCTGAGTGCCAGGCAAATGTCCCCCTGTCTGAGTGCCAGGCAAATGATACATGTGCAGTGGTTCTCAACCGTCCTAATACCCTAACCCTTTAATACAGTTCCTCATGTTGTGGCCACCCTTTAATACAGTTCCTCATGTTGTGGCCACCCTTTAATACAGTTCCTCATGTTGTGGTGACCTCCAAACATAACATTATTTCTTTTGCTACTTCATAGCTTTCGTGAATATGTGAAAGGGTTGTTCGACACCCAAAGGGGTCGCTACCCACAGGTTGAGAACTACTGCCTAAGTGCAAAGCAACTAACTGTCACAGTGCCTGAGTGCCCGGTAACTTATGTCACCACTTGAGTGCCAGGCTACTGTCACAGTGCCCGGTAACTTATGTCACCACTTGAGTGCCAGGCTACTGTCACAGTGCCCGGTAACCTGTGTCACCACTTGAGTGCCAGGCTACTGTCACAGTGCCTGGTAACTTATGTCACTACTTGAGTGCCAGGCTACTGTCACAGTGCCTGGTAACTTATGTCACCACTTGAGTGCCAGGCTACTGTCACAGTGCCCGGTAACTTGTGTCACACTTGAGTGCCAGGCTACTGTCCTATATAGTTGTATAATGCATTTTAATATAAGCCAGAGGAAACCCAGTCTAACTAGATACATAGCTTTTATTCAACAGGACAAAAAATACCACAATCATTTACAGAACACAGAGCAAACACACATCAAGAGACACATAAAAAGGCAGATCTATATGGGAGGCAAACCAAGCCTGTGAGGACAACCAGAAAACATACATTCAACAATTGCAATAATTCAATATGGCATGCAGGGTGTGTCCAAGCACAGCTGCTGGGTTATATGATCACTGCAGTAAGCTAGAAGAGAAAGCTGAGACACTAGCTCTGCACTGAGTCAAACATATGATACTCAAACAATGATACTCAAACACTGGCTCAGCACTGAGCCAAACAATGATACTCAAATATTTACCCAGCACTGGGCCAAACATACGATACTCACACATTGGCCAAGTGCTGAGTCAAACAATGACACAACAGTGGCTCAACACTTAGCCAAACAATGATACTCAAACACTGGTCCAGCACTTAGTCAAACAATGATACTCAAAAACTGCCCCAGCACTGAGTCAAACATATGATACTCATACACTGGGCAAACACTGAGTCAAACATATGATACTCAAACACGGGCCCAGTACTTAGCCAAACAATGATACACAAACATTGGCCCAGCACTGAGTCAAACATATGATACTCTAACACTGGCCCAGCACTGAGTCAAACATATGATACTGGCCACTGGCCCAGCACTGACTATGATACTCTAACACTGGCCCAGCAGCCAAACATATGATACTCAAATGATCAAACATATGATACTCAAACACTGGCCCAGCACTGGTCAAACATATGGATACCCTAACACTGGCCCAGCACTGAGTCAAACATATGATACTCTAACACTGGCCCAGCACTGAGTCAAACATATGATACTCTAACACTGGCCCAGCACTTAGCCAAACATATGATACTCAAACACTGGCCAAACACTGAGTCAAACATATGATACTCAAACACTGGCCCAGCACTGAGTCAAACATATGATACTCTAACACTGGCCCAGCACTGAGTCAAACATATGATACTCTAACACTGGCCCAGCACTGAGTCAAACATATGATACTCTAACACTGGCCCAGCACTTAGTCAAACATATGATACTCAAACATATGATACTCAAACACTGGCCCAGCACTGAGTCAAACATATGATACTCAAACACTGGCCCAGCACTCAGTCAAACATATGATACTCAAACACTGGCCCAGCACTCAGTCAAACAATGATACTCTAACATGTGTATGCTGATAAACAGTGATAGGAAGCAAGCATTACATTACTAAATATAATCACAGCATTTGAAAATGGACTACAGCATTCATCACAACAGATCAAATATTTTTATATACAATGAAACTGTTACACTCATGTCAGAAGGAAGGTTCAACATGAGAGCTTAATAATGGAAACTGATACAGGAAAGAAGGAAAACTAAGGATGATGTGAGGTGACAGTGCACTTGCAGACCTGACGGTGTGGGGGAAAAAGTGAGAGACAGGCTCCAATAGGCTGGGTCAAGGCAGAGAGAAAGTCAAATGACAACATATGAGGTATATCTCACATTTGATCGCCCGATCAAAGTCATAAGTACAATTGTGCAAATAAATATATTCATCATCCAATATATATTTTTATTTTTGGTATCAAGTTTTGCCCCACACAAGGCAACAGTCCATACAACTGGAAAGGGGGGGGGGGGGGGGGGGGGGGGGGGGGGGGTGTGGGGGGGGGGGGGGGGGGGATCATATGGGTCAGAGGGCAGATACACGAAATATCACATAAGAAGAACACCATGCAGGAGATGGGAGACATTTATGAAATATATGTAGACAAAACATCAAAAGGGTGTGTGTATCACTAGCCAATCTACACAGGACAACAATCTGACAACTTTCCTAAACAATATGTCCATGGATGTTGCTAGCTAGTCGACACAGAACAACAGTCTGGTTCCTATACAATATGTCCACATGGATGTTGCTAGCTAGTCCACACAGAACAACAGTCTGGTTCCTATACAATATGTCCATGGATGTTGCTAGCTAGTCCACTCAGAACAACAGTCTGGTTCCTATACAATATGTCCATGGATGTTGCTAGCTAGTCCACTCAGAACAACAGTCTGGTTCCTATACAATATGTCCATGGATGTTGCTAGCTAGTCCACACAGAACAGAACAACAATATGTCTGGTTCCTATACAATATCTGTCCATGGATGTTGCTAGCTAGTTCCACACAGAACAACAGATTGGTTCCTATACCTATACAATATGTCCACAGGATGTTTTGCTAGCTAGTCCACACCAGAACAACAGTCTGATGGATGTTGCTAGCTTGTCCACTCAGAACGACAGATTGGCTCCTATACAATATGTCCATGGATGTTGCTAGCTAGTCCACTCAGAACAACAGTCTGGTTCCTATACAATATGTCCACATGAATGTTGCTAGCTAGTCCACACAGAACAACAGTCTGGTTCCTATACAATATGTCCATGGATGTTGCTAGCTAGTCCACTCAGAACAACAGTCTGGTTCCTATACAATATGTCCATGGATGTTGCTAGCTAGTCCCCTCAGAACAAGCCTGGTTCCTATACAATATGTCCATGGATGTTGCTAGCTAGTCCACTCAGAACGACAGATTGGTTCCTATACAATATGTCCATGGATGTTGCTAGCTAGTCCACTCAGAACGACAGATTGGTTCCTATACAATATGTCCATGGATGTTGCTAGCTTGTCCACTCAGAACGACAGATTGGTTCCTATACAATATGTCCATGGATGTTGCTAGCTAGTCCACTCAGAACAACAGTCTGGTTCCCACATAATATGTTCATGACTATCACTAACTAGTCCACACAACAACAAAAATAGTCTGGCAACACTCCCACTGCTCACAGACTAAGTACTGGATATTATAGAACTATGCACACTATCAGATCTCACCACCCGGTGATACATAATTTATCAGACTACACTCTCTACAGTGTGCCCCTACTGTGACAACACCAAACCTTCTACAGTGCCCCTACTGGTGACAACACCAAACCTTCTACAGTGCCCCTACTGGTGACAACACCAAACCTTCTACGGTGCCCCCTACTGGTGACAACACCAAACCTTCTACAGTGCCCCCTACAGTGACAACACCAAACCTTCTACGGTGCCCCCTACTGGTGACAACACCAAACCTTCTACAGTGCCCCCTACAGTGACAACACCAAACCTTCTACAGTGCCCCCTACAGTGACAACACCAAACCTTCTACAGTGCCCCTACTGGTGACAACACCAAACCTTCTACGGTGCCCCCTACTGGTGACAACACCAAACCTTCTACAGTGCCTCTACTGGTGACAACACCAAACCTTCTACAGTGCCCCCTACAGTGACAACACCAAACCTTCTACAGTGCCTCTACTGGTGACAACACCAAGCCTTCTACAGTGCCCCTACTGGTGACAACACCAAACCTTCTACAGTGCCCCTACTGGTGACAACACCAAACCTTCTACAGTGCCCCCTACTGGTGACAACACCAAACCTTCTACAGTGCCTCTACTGGTGACAACACCAAACCTTCTACAGTGTGCCCCTACTGGTGACAACACCAAACCTTCTACAGTGTGCCCCTATTGGTGACAACACCAAACCTTCTACAGTGTGCCCCTACTGGTGACAACACCAAACCTTCTACAGTGTGCCCCTATTGGTGACAACACCAAACCTTCTACAGTGCCTCTACTGGTGACAACACCAAACCTTCTACAGTGCCTCTACTGGTGACAACACCAAACCAAAATTTTCCATTCTCAATATTGGTGATAACAGCAAACCTTGTGGTCAACCTAGTGGTGACAACATAAAACTCTACAGCCCCCCAAATGGTGACAACACCAAACCTTTTACAGTCTCCCTACTGGCAAGCTACAGTAACTCAAACATCCACCCTTTATCCAACAACCAGAAGCTGCAGTAACTCAAACATCCACCTTCTTTCCCACAGCAAGAAGCTACAGTAACTCAAACACCCACCCTCTATCCCACAGCCAGAAGCTGCATTAACTCAAACATCAACCCTCTACCCCACAGCCAGAAGCTGCATTAACTCAAACATCAACCCTCTACCCCACAGCCAGAAGCTGCATTAACTCAAACATCAACCCTCTACCCCACAGCCAGAAGCTGCATTAACTCAAACATCAACCCTCTACCCC